TCCACTTTTGGGATTCATAACCGGCTTTAGTTTGTTGGAAAGAGGGCAGACGAAGCTTGTCTAATGGGTGTTGAAGTGTTATTTTGTAGTGGTAGACGAGAATTGATCACAGCAGTCTCTGAGGTTGGTGTTACATTTAAGAGTTTCAGTGGGTTTTTCCTCTGAAAACATCATGAAATTTGCAACACATCACAGTAGCTCTACTAAAAGCTGTTGTTCTTAAATATGCCTGGGTTGTAGACATTCACTCACAGTCTCATGCGACTTGTGTCTCTTCACTTGTTGATGAAAACAAAAGATTATTCTATTCTACTTTAAAATGTTTTACTGATTCAGGACTTGCATTTATCATTACTACAGTTTGTCCGGTCTTGGCACAGTAGAGGCCCATACCCACGCAAACACAACCACCCACAGGGATTCACAGAAACACAAATTTCTCTATGGCCCTTCTGTTTTGTCCTGTACACTTGTCGATAAAAACAAAAGACCAGACCAGGCCCGACTGATTTCCCCTGCCTCTGTTAGGAAGGAGCACACACACACCCATGCACACACAATGGCCCTTACTCTGGGCTGGTCGAACAAAGCGTCCAGCAGCAACAAGAAAACGTCAGAAAATAGCTTTCACTTGTTGTTTCTCAGTATCTGGAGATCTGTTCCCTGGAAAGGCCTGTCTCTGGCTGTCAAAACAGAGACACACAAAAACATACATACACTCACACGCACGATAGGTATTCACTGACACACACACACACACACACACACAGACACAGGCAGTAATGTCAGATTCAGGAAATTCAGAAAATGAAAAACATGAAGCCATGAGTAAGTAACTGAGGTGAAGAAAGAGGGAGAGCTGCAGAGCAAGTAGATAATGTGTGTGTGTATGAATGCCCGGGTTTGTGTATGGGCACACGCATGCCAACATGCATGATTATCTTGTTTACATGTCGAGTGTCTGTGAGACAGAGCAGACCACAGGGGTATTTGTTGACCAGCTGTACTAAAGTGATTGGCTTGTTGTTTCTTGAATGACAGCAGCCCTGGTGTTCCAAATGCCCAACAAGGACACTGGCTGGCTCTCAGCTTCCCTCATTATTTTTGTTTTCCAAGTTCCCTCCACTGATCTCATGGATTGCTTAAATCATGTGACAGCTCTGCGTTGTTTTGATTCTCATCCAAGGTTTTCTCCCTAACTTAGCTTATTTTGTACTTTTAAAACACAGCATGTTCATTTTAGTAAATATTTTTCAGTTTGTGTATGCTAAGGATTCCCAAGTGCACTGTGTTTTTTTATTTTTAAAGAAATATTGAAATATTATTCATTTAAAAGTAGCATGAATATACATACATTTTAGGTAAAAATTGTGAAGAGAACCACACAAATCCTTAAAAGCATGTGCACACACATACACACACATACACTGCGTGAAATCTGAAAGTTGCCTGAGGCACTTTGTGGCCTTTGTTGCCATAAATTGCCTCAGTTCTTGATTAAACGAAACGTCAAAGTGTCTAAGCTCTTAAGTTGCCGAACCCTTACACACACATTCACCGACATAAACGCACACACGTACACACTATATGAAGTGACACGCAAGCACACACAAATTCCCAATTACTCGTTGGATGCCGGTTAATGATTGGACTTTGGAGGAGAGGGAATTAAATGGTTGACTAAGCAGACTTTTGCGAGGCGTTTAGCATCCACAACTTTTTCCTCATCTTTATCCTCCTCCTCTTCCTCTCTTCCCTATCCTACCTTCTGCAGTCTGTTCTGCATAGTAATGCCTTTGAATTGAGCTGTTCATTCAGCCAAGCACAGATAAGTGCTGTATAGCGGGAGGAACACAATAGAGAAATAAAAGAAGGAAGCTGGAAATTGGGGATGGAGCTTTTGGGTTGAGCTGGAAAATGGTTTTGTTCTCTCTTCCTTTCTATCTCCTATACCTTGACGGGCAAGGATGGGAAAGTGTCAGCTGGACAAAAAGAAGTAAAGTCTTAGACACGCAGTCAGCCAAATCCTCAGTAGATATACAGTATTCAGAGTTTTTTATTATTATTTTATTTCCAACTGTGAAAGAAGCTTAAGGGTGATATCAGGTTTTAACGCAGAAAAAGTTGAAATGGCAAGGTGGTGTGTGGGCGGTCGTGCATATGTGTGCATATGTGCTCCATTTGTGCATGCAAATTGATACATTTGTGCTTTTTGTGCTTGAAAACCTGAGCCAGGACCACAGGCAGTTTGGAAACTGAATAGTAAAGTACAAATACGCAACAGAGAGCACAGGATGTGAGGAAGGATTTAGAAGATTTGACAGAAAAAGAGAAGAAAGAGACTAGTTTTAGAGAGAAAATCTGAGAAATGTACCAACAACTCCACAGAGTGGTAGTAGCCCCAGTGGTTATTATAGGAATATTTGAGTTTTGAGAACATCTTTAACATTTTTTTTTGTCTTTGTACAGTATGTTAAAATGTGAATGTATCCTAGCTCCACTGCAGCTCTGAGGACACTACGCCTTATAGCCTTGTTTTAGGTGATGTGTCTGTTGAGCCCTTTTTGTTCACCGACCTCATCACCGGCTCTGCTTTTTCTATGTCCCTCCCCAGCCTTCAGTTCACGGTGGGTTGAGCAGTGAATAGGGTACAGACCCTAGAGATATCCCAGCGTTTTAGCTGCTGCGTCACAGTTGGTCCCTCGTCCTCTAACGCAGTTTTACAGAAAGTGGCGAGGCGACTGAACATTTACTGAATGAATGGATAGGACACTGAGATGGAGTCCATCTCTCCAGTTCTGCAGTGTTCTCCCCCTCCCTTCGTTGGGGTGAAGGAGGGAGGAATCTATCCTCCCAGGGGAAGATAGATTACCTCTCATTAGAGATCCAGGCCGTGTTACAGATACAGGCTGCGTCTGTTGTCCCCACTCACGACAGATGGGAAGGGTTTCACTCCGCGTACTTCCTGGTACGACGGAGGAGTTAAGACTCATTTTGGATATCATCATCCTAAACCAAGACTTTCTATATGCTAATCGAGCAGTTACTGGAACTGGTTCAGCGGGGTGATCTGTTCACCGCCATTGACACATACTTTGTTTTCGCCTTCCTTAACCTATGAGTACAATAAGCTGTCGATTGGCTATTCCCTGGCGCCCTGCACCTTGAGCAAGACACTTAACCCAGAACTTTAGGTCCTGTGCACCTGCAGAGACTAGAAGCTGCAGTTAAAGTATACGGAAGGGCTCCCTGCTGAGTCATGTGGAGCTGTGTGAATTTGAATCAGGGTGCTAATAAAGAAAAGTGTGTGTTTGTGGTCTCGGTTAACCTTTCCTGGATAAATAAAGATTAAAAATGAAAGTGAGGGAAAGGCACAGAGGAGATAGAAGCACAGTTCACCTCATGTCTCTCCCCTGCCACAATAGAAGTACAGTGGCTCTGAGCTTAGTGTGAACTCTTGACCATCTCCTCCTTTGCAGATAGCATATCTTCAGGGGTACATATGGGTCACTGAGGAGTCGGCTCAAAGCAGACTGACTAAGCAGAGCTTTTTCCCCCCACACTCATCCACTGCCCTGCCCACTTCATGTCTTATCTAGAATAACACATGGCTGTCTAGTGTCTTGCTCTCGTCAACCTGCAACCTGCTCGGCTTTTAATGATGCTTCCCCCCAAACGGTCCATGCCTGCTGCTTAGTGCATTTGTGTGGAGAAGAAAAGCACGGGGAACATGGTGGTGGTGTGTATGTGTTTGTTGCAGAGAGGAGGAGGAAGCATAGAAGTGAAAATAGTTGAGGGACTGTGGTGATGTGGACTAGTGGGTGGTTAGAGGTTCTCCCCATCATGTTACAGGTCAAGTGAAGGAAGAGACACTGAGCGGGAGGAGCAGAGGAGAGGAGGAAAGAGGGAAGAAAATGAGAGTGAACGAAGGGATGTATTAAACTGTGCATTTTCTTTTGACTTTGTCAGTATTCTAGGTTTCTGCTATGCTGCGAAAAAAGTGGGTTTTCTCTATTCTGTCCCTTGTTTCGATTGCGTGAACAAAAATGCATACATACATATATACTGCATTTACATGTTTGGCTACCCCTCTCTGACAAAATTGCTTCACCAAATAGGTCAGTGTAAAACGTATCACAGCAAAGCAGAAATGAAGACATAGTGATAATCAAATCACAACAAGAAGGAATTCCTTGAAATGAACCCCTGCCTCTGCTGACATTATTTCTAGAGAGGCACAGTTAATGTTGTTGTTTTAGTGTATCACTTCCATTACATTTCAAAAAAACTGCCAAACGTAGCCTGCTGTCCTCAAATCCAAACCACTTTATTGTTGCTTCCATCCTATTATTTGCTGACTATGGTGAATTGTTGCCATCCTGCCCCTTTAAAGATTATTTAAAGTCTTTGGATGTGATTTTACACAAGAACCAAAAAGAAAACGTTTGATCTTCGGTCTCGTAGACTTTATTGAATGTGCAGAGTTAGGTAAATATATCAAGAGACTATTCTTAAAGGCAATACAGTGTGTTGTTTTTCTAGAGGCTGAGATCTCGGAGACTGCACTAACAGAATGTGTAGAACGCAGGACTAATATGACAGGGAACTGTAAACCTCATCAGTCACAAGCCCCTGTGGATCTTTTGGGAACCAGAAATCAGCCGAAATATGAGATGATGTGAACAGGGACTTTCTTACATCCACTTCGAGCTGAATACAATATGCAATTTCCTCTTCAAATCCCCTGCAGCCAGATTGTCTTATGGGGGGCTTATTAGATATGTAGACTCATAATTATTTTGTATGTTTTGTGAGTGTGCATCTTTAGGGCAGGATGTGGTGAATGGAACAAATACTCTTGCTCCTAGTCTCAAAGCTGCTTGTTTGACTGTAGGCCTGTTGCTTTGATGTATTTAATTTAATTGTGTGTGTGTGTGTGTGTGTGTGTGTGTGTGTGTGTGTGTGTGTGTGTGTGTGTGTGTTTGTGTTTGTCTTCACAGGCCTTCTCTGGGAACTCCAACTCGGAGAGCTCAGTTCGCCACGAGCTGCAGCGGGGAATCGTGGCACGCTTCCTGAGGCTCGTCCCGCTGGACTGGAGCGAGGAGGGACGGATTGGTCTGCGCATAGAAGTTCATGGCTGCTCCTACTGTGAGTGGAGACAAACAAACACACATACACATTCAACGAGTAACAAAAGATATTCAGCCCAATACTTGAGCAAGTACTTGTACATGATAATACTTTAGTTCCTCCAACAAGTTAACATGTATTCGATCTATTGGGAGAGCCCAATGATGGTTTGTCAGCTCCAAAAAAGAAAAACGTTAGGTACTGAAATATGCAGAGCACAGTCACAGACGGACAGACATACAGATGCTCACACACTAAGACACTGTCTCTCGCTTTCTAACAAATGTATCATCCAGGGAACTGACTCTCTTGCAGCCCCTTTGCTCTCATCCTATTACAGGCTGCCAAATTGATTTTGATAACAAATTTCAATTAACGCTCTGCATAAATTACTATTATAAGTGACACACGTACATCTTTCATTCCAGAGAATGCACTACACTGTGTGTGGATATGGTCGTGAGTGAGTGTGTGTGTGTGTGTGTGTCTGTGTCTTTGCGTGTGAACACAAGGGCATGTATTGCATTCAAGTCAGTCCTCATCCCTTTGATTATATTTCCCTTGTTTCATTTCCTTCCTATGTTAAAAGAAAAGCAAGTCAGTAATGATGAAGATGACAAGATGTGGTACTCACACAGAGAGAGAGAGGAGAGAGAGAGATGCATAACGCATGCACAGATGCACAAAACAATAAAACACAGAAATCCAGCCCACTCTAAGTTTATATCCATCACCTGTCCCCTCCAACAAAACACTCCTGCACTCACAAACAACTTTGACAGGGAAATAATTCACTTCTAATACACGTGACTGCTTTTGTGCTTAGATGAAGTCAAGTTGTTGCTTTTTCAGTTTTTAACCAGAATAGCTTCCACCCTTGTATTCTCTAACAGTGTTAGTCTCATTGATCTTAAATTGGACAATACAAATTGGCATTTGATTTTGGGAACATCTGCGTTGTTATTTGAAGGGATAGTTTGGATGTTTTGAAGTGGGACTGTGTGAGTTACTCATAGTCAGTTTATTGCAGACACACTCAATGTTTGCTACATTGCTTTGCTTTTATGCGATTACTCTAGTCTGCTTCTCCAAGCTGGGTGTGTGCCGATCGTCATCTACTTTAGCTAATACACTGGCTATAACTTTAAATAGGGTCTCTTAGGTTCAGCATAATAATGCTGTTATGTTTTGCTTTTTGGTGACAATTAAAAAGGTAGAGAACATATTTTTTACAGGTTTCCAAAAGTAGGGTAACACATTGAGGCAGGTAACAACCATTATATGCTTTGCTCAGATCCTTTCATAATTTATGAGCATTATTTACTTATATTTTTCCAAATACGGTATAGCATGGAAGTATGGAAGTATAACACAACACAACCAGATATATTTCTCAACTTTATAGAAAGAAATGACGGAACAATCAATAGCTTACACAAGAGTCAAGCTGGGTGTCAAGCACCAGCGGGTTTGTGAGTTGTAAACAACGAAGAAACAAACCTGAAATACAGTCTATACTATTTATATATAAGCAGTTTTTTTAGAAATGTTAACTTTAGACAACAGAAAAAGTTGGTAAATTGAGTTTGAGCCAAGTTGGCTTATTAACACAGTCTGTTTGTCACTACTGTAGCTAGCTATATGTGAAAGTAAGTATAGACTCAATAAAGACGTGATGTAGATATCAAAAGTGTTTTGCAGCTTCAAACTGTGTGTCATATACAGTATCAATATGGTTTCTGCAAACAATCTGTTTAAATTAAATATGAACTGGCTGCAATTGCCATTGGAATACATAGGGGGTTTGTGTATTCCAAATATCATCTCTTACTGTACATAATGTACCCATTTACAGCTGTTATTTCTCCTTCAGCCAGTCACATACCAAAGAATAAGAGCTACAACAGAAACTATGCACAAGAAATCCCCCAATATACACAACAGCAGAATTAGACTGAGACAGTGGTATAGCAAAATATGGGCATTATAGAGAATGAGCTTTAACTTTGTCCTACCTCCACAACCACTACCGTTAACGTGACCAGCGTCTGCTCCAGTGGAGCTGCTCATGGGCCATTAGGGGAGCACTGCGATTATGCTCAACTCTCCCAGATGTAAATGAGTTTCAGCTGTGTGAAATAATTCATGATGAAATAGATCATGTGTGCTCTCTCTAGCTTTTCTTTCTTAGATTTAAAAAGGACACTTTTATTTGAATACATATCTAGCCCTGGCACCTAATTACAGAGAAATACCATTACTGCTTGTCCTATCTTAACTTAAGTTTCAAAGATAGGAAAAATCCTATTTTCCTATTACAGAATTGGCTCATGGTCAGGGCTGTGTCCTATCCTGTCTAAGACCTGATTTCTTATCTTAACTTAAGAAATCCTAACTATAACTGTAAATTAGATCATGCCTGTATCTAGTTCAGAATGTTTGTGCCTGCCTGTATCTTTGATTAGAATCGCCCAGCAGGCTACACGAGATGGAGAAGCCATAATATCATCAGCACTCATGTGTCACCACTGGCTAGCTGACTCACAAAAAAAGACAGTTTTAGCTACAAGGAGTCAAGGAGTTGTTTTTTAATGGATTATTTATCTTGGTAGTCAATATAAATAACCATTAACATAGTCTGGAAAAGTTCAAAGCATCATCACTGAGTAGCCTTTCAGTCATTATATTTCAATGTTCATGTTGTTCCCCATCTTCATCGCCATTGCCATGCAAACCTAACAACCGTGCTGCTGCAATTTTTACCAATTATTTTGAATTAGGAACAGGGTTTATGACTTAACTCAGGATACTTGGGAAATCCTTTAAATTAGGACTGTTCTGTAATAACTAGATTCCTATTCGAAGACAAAATGGGATTTTTTTTTCCTGAATGTCATCCACAACTGAGATAAGATAGGATTTCAAGTTAAGTAACAAGGACCCTGGTATCCTTTCATTCAACAGACAGACAGACAGTCTTTGAAGTAAACAACGACACAATTGAAAGAACATCCCGGTTGCAAGGTCAAATAAGCACAGAGAGATGTTGTGTTTCTAACAGATATGAATGTTGTTATTCAGACGCTGACAGAAGAAACACATAATACATACACAGAACAGAGAGAGAGAGAGAGAGAGAGAGAGAGAGAGAGAGAGACTTGCATGTACACACACACTCCACCTGGTCAGGTGTGTCTTTCAGAGTTGTTTGTCAGCTGTGTTTTGAAGCCCACAGTGCTTTCTCATGATTATGCTGTCACTGTTCCTTTCTTCAGCATTCAGTCATAGAATGAGAACTCGCACCTTTGTCTGTTCATCTACCCACCCTTCACTCCCCAACTCTCCAGTTCTCTTAGAATCAACTTCTCCGAAATCTTTTCCTCCTTCCAAATTCTAAGATGAAAAAGAGAAGTACATTGTTCGGAAACGGCAAAGTAAAGAGGATAAAAGAAGAAAGCACAAAGAAGAATTAGTAGGAGGAGAAGGAGGCAGATAAATATAGATGTTATGTTCCCAGCATAATCACCAAATATGTTGGTTGTAGATGATAATTCTGGGTTTTGAAAATGTATGATAATTAAATGCAATACCACATTATGACTCATCTAGGACTATGCAGTGAAAGGCAGTGTGTGTATGTGTCTGTGCCAGAGCTAGAGGGTATAAAGGAGTCGTGAGCCACCATGCTGGGGAATTTACGTGCTCATTTGCATTTTGATTAACATAGGATCAACAGAAAATCAATTATTCCATAGACGAGTCAGGAAATAGTAGCGCCAGTATGTGAGAGAAAGGGAAGTGGGACGGAAACAGAGTACAAATTAAATATTCCACACAAACCAATCACTCTCATGCAAGTAGAATTTCAAATAAATGCAAGCATATCATATCTGACTTCAACCAGTGGCCGTTATGCCAACCATACTTTAAATCTGCTGTCAGGATGATGTATCACCATCATTATCTGTCGAGTCCAAGAAATGTACTTATGTAGATTTGTTTATTGTTAGCATCTATTTATGGAGCAGGACTGAGGCCAAGCGCAGACAAACAAAAAAGCATCATTGTAGCCTTCAGGCTCTGACATGCAATAAGTCTATGGAAAACACATACAGCATTACAGTTTAGTTATGGATAAACATATTGACTATCATTTTCATCATTTGTTGTTATCTATAGAATATCAAAAGCATTGACCAAATCTGTGCCAGAGCATAAAGTAAATCTAATATTGTTATTATTATCTAATATTGAGATTATTGTGTCTTACCCACAGTCACACATGCAAATACACATCTTCCAACTATATGAAAAGCATCCAAATCCTTTAGTTTAGTAAACGCTGGTCCTACTGTGAGTGACGTGCTTTTGTGCTCGCAGCCATCTAATTTGCTGCTTGCCCAATGACACATGTTTCCATGGATACAATTTAACATGCCAGCCAAGTGCACCTTCAATTTGCCCTGACATGACGCAGGTGGTATCTCTGTGGTATTGGCTTTGCATTGGCTGATTTCAAGTCTTTTTTTGTTTTGTTGTGCACAATCAAGCATTTATCCAAAGTGACACATTTAATAGACATTCAGTGGAGAACGACCACTATTGTGTAATCCTTTAGATTACAATAGTTCCTTCTATTAGATTTCATATTTTTTCAGTGCAATACCTCACTTAATAAATGTTAAGTGTCTTTTTCTTTTGGCATTGGCATACCATAACAGCCAATAAACAGCTTTTCTTTGTAACTCTACACACCACAAACAGCCACCATTGTGCAGCAACATCAACTTCAAATTTTCAGATTGTGATGAATAATAACTTCCAATGAAATTAATTTGAGGATTATATTGGCCGTCACATGCAGCTGTCTCTGGTAAACCACCATCTGGGTCAGGGTTGAAAATGGCGTGGTCTCCTGGGCCAGGGTCTGAAAATCTCTGCCATCTTGTGTGCACGTCGTCATCATCTGGCTGCAAACCAAGCAGTCGTTTCTTGTTACTCTCCATCGCAGTGGGTCGATCTTCGCTCTCTTTCTCTCTCATTCTTTGCACCTCACAGTCGTCTGCAGGTGGTGGAAAAGCCCTCCATCCCTCATAAAGTCTCCCTCCTGATACCAAGCACTCAACTGAGCTGGCAACCCTGTTCTGAGCAGCACACCTAGATCTGTAATATCTCATAAAACAACCGCAAAACTGTCAACTACCACCACCGTTTGCACCACAAATGTGACAGAAGAAGATGATTGGTTGGAAGAGAGAGAGAGAGGGATGAAGAAAATTAAGTGATGCAATGAAAGTAAAGAGAGAAGTAAAATAAGTAAGAGTGGAGCGGAGAGGAGAGTAATGTAAAAAGATGAAGGACTAAAGGGAGAACAATAACTAGTGCAAGAAAAAGAGTGAGGTGTAAAACGGTGAAAGACAACCTGAAAACCCAGTGAAAGGCAGCATGGGATCATTTGGGGACCATTGAAGTTACAAACAAAGGAAACAGATGTAATTTCCTCTAACCCTCCTCTCTTGGTGTTTATAAACTGTATTACAATCATATCACACTGCTACCTCTGCATTTAACCCATCCTAAGCATTAGGAACAGCTGTAAACACCAGGGGAGCAACTTGGGGCTCAGCGTCTCGCTCAAGGATCGAACGGCCAACCTAAAGGACGAGCCTCCCTATGCAATGAGCCACAGAGTGTAGTTATAGTTGTGTGCAGGTTATAAGCGAGAAAGCACGAGGGAAGGTACAGTATAGGGACGGTGTGACTGCATACGAGTCTATATTTGATACGACCTTTCCCCAACTCAGTTATCCTATCATAGCCCGCACCTAAACTCCTGTCCACCTTCCTTAACCAATAACACACACACACACACACACACACACACACACACACACCATTAACCACTTGAACAGTTGGGATGATGATAGTTAGATTGAAGCACTGCACTTTGTTTCTCTTCTCAAAATCTCCTCCACAATGTTGCCTGTCTCCTTTCTGCCCTCTCTAGATTTAAACATTATTTTTACAAAGACAAAATATGTGTTTTGGAGCTAATTATATTTTACATTTTACAGGATATGTGCAGCATTCAAACCTGTTGATAAGTATGTTCAACTGGCCTACGCACACACAGGTGTTTTAATTTTTGGCTCATTAGACATTTAGTTTTAATGTAATGACTTTATTGTTTCACACATTGTCAGTATTCGTTAAATATCTTCTCGTTCCCATTGGAAAGTTGCCATGTGTGAAACAAATATTACTAATTAATTTCCCTTAGGACTTTTAGATACATGACAAAGCAATACAATAGGAAATGTCACGAACAGTCTTTTATACAACATCAATAATTAACATCTGTTTCTGTTTATGGAAAATATTACACAGCACAGGTGTTACTAATAAAATGAACGGTGTGATAGTGAGCCAAAGTGCATTAGGACCCTGAAACCGCATCAAAAGAGAATTCAGTCATCATTTATTGTATTATTTACACCTGCGCTTGTCATACTATGACTTGTCAAGATGTTCTCTGTGAAAAGGGCCTATTGGGTACAGTATCATTAAATAAGTCTAGTAACCTGTAAAGAAGACATGTTGGATACACAAACCTCCTACGGTTTTGTTTTTGTTGTTTTGTAATTTAAATTACTGATTTCTTGACCCAGCCCTAAAAGAGCATTGGCTTTAGTGTGCTCTTTAGTAATTTGGGATGAGGGTCTTGACCTTTCCCTTTCCACGGTCTCTTACCGTCACTGTCTTTCTCTCATGTTTTCCTCTTCATTATTTTTGTTCTTATCTCTCTTGTTTTTATCTGTCTTCTTTCTGTCTTTTTTAGGGGCGGGCGTGATCAACTTTGATGGACAGGGTGTAATCTCATATCGTTTTAAGGTACTGGATGTCATACTGTCGAGGTCATTCTAGACAGTTAATATCATAAAAATCAACAAATAGCAATAATATAATATGACGGGATATAAATACTTTGATGTAGATTCTGAGCAGGTGGCTGGGAGACCTGGGAAAGTGCATTCTTGTTTTGTAGTAAAGTAAAGAAAGTTGTTTTTCATTATTAGATTTCCTTTTTTTTGTTTCTTAATATAGACCACGTAAGGTGCATTGTGTTTTTTTCACGTGTTCAGGTGAAGAAGATGAAGATCATTAAGGATGTGATTGCCCTGAGGTTCAAGACGTCAGAGAGTGAGGGTGTGATTCTTCATGGGGAGGGCCAACAGGGAGACTACATCACCCTGGAGCTTCGCAAGGCCAAGCTGCTGCTGCAGATAAACCTGGGTGGGCAACACATGCATGTCATTTACTTTGACAAATAAATACAAAGCAAAGTATACTCCCGCCACAATGTCTATGATGAAGCTGTCTTGGTATCAATCCATTATAGGCACGTTTTACCTTCTGAGGATATTCAAACTTTGAAGAAGCTTTGTTTGTAAAACCATAACCCTCAAAGTACACCTTAAGCATGTTTTGAAATATTGAATACAAAATATCCAAGTGATATGTCTAAGACCAAGCTATACCCACTCCGATCCTAGAATTGAATAAGTACTCAATCTAATGCATGCAGCAACTTTACACTGGTTCTGTTTGCAGCAATTTGACAGGTTGAAAGAATTGAAACCATCATTATTGACTTGACAATAATGCTAAACTTTTGTAATCTAAATGAATGGTCTGTTTGTCAAGGTATCATTATCTTGGAGCAATGACAAAGCATCCACGTGCCGCTTTTTACCCTTTACGCTGTAAACAACAGCCACAACAATCCATAAGTGTGTGGAGTATCACTCACTGTCGACCAGCTGTGTTGCTGACATAACTGTTGTGACCTTAAAGGACGCTCACTGCAGCATCAGAAGCAACAACTCCACTGGTGCATTCTCGTAGCCAGTGTTACAACTAACGACGCTTCTAGCTAATAAATAAATGGCAGGTGTGTTATTGTTGGCAGGAAACGGCACAGAAAATAATTACATTCTAATGTGAGTGAGGATGACTACATTTGCGAAAAAAAAGACTCGTATCTTTTCGTGCTATGTGCTGTAAATTTGAATAATTATATGAAGATATTTGGATATTTATGAAACCATTGTACGAGGCATAGTCAATATCCCGTATGTGAAGCACTGAGCTTATTTCAGTCTATTTTGGAAAATCCCTGCCAGAGAAGTCACAAATACATTTTGAGTCTATTGGTCCTTGTTAAGCCGCCCACATTATCTAATAATAGCTTTTAGAATAAAGGCAAATTCAACTATTGATTGCACTTATTCCGCCTGACATATATTAAATCGTCGTGTTAAAACATGCTGCTTTATTTACAATGTCAAATGTCTGTGTTTTTAATACCTTGTATTATTATGACATGTTAATTACAGGCAGTAATCAGTATGGCTCTATCCTGGGTCATACCTCTGTGACCACCGGCAGCCTCTTGGATGACAATCACTGGCACTCGGTGGTGCTCGAACGCTACCGTCGTAATATCAACTTCACCTTGGACAGACACACTCAGCACTTCAGGACCAATGGAGAGTTTGACCACCTCGATTTAGACTATGAGGTGAGAAGCAAAGTACACTGAGTATTACATTGAGACAGGAACGTGAAGAACGCAGACGTAGAATGGCAGTCTCCCCTTTGAAATAGATGAAGAAATGAATCCAACACAAAAGCCTAATAACATACATACAATTATATGTCCAAACACAGTTACAGGAGGTGACTGGGAAACGGTCCATGTATACAGCTGTTTAAAGTATGCTTGCTACTGAAAGATGCACTACATCTATTTCTTTAAAAGACATATCAGCTTGACATCATGTTAATAATGAAACCTTTGGGTGCCAAATGATTCAACAGCTGTACGTTGATGGGTGAGTTCAAATATGAAAAAGGAACTGGTAGACCATGTAAGTAAGAAGCTAAAATGTCAGCTGATCTATTCAGCTACCTCAGCTTTGCCTGAGTTGTTTTTTGTGTGTGTGTGTCCGTCGAGAGCAGCTGCCAGTACAAGTGACCGGCTACTGCATAAAGAGCACATGTATTTATTTTAGTTTAACTTCTCAACCCAATATAATTGTTAATTGTACCAGCATCTGTTAAGTAGCATGCTAGCTTAGCAGTTAGTCACAATGTGTCACTTACAGGGTCCTATTTTACAAGCCAGCAGTAGCGCACACGCAGTCATTTTGCATTTATCCTCCGGTTGTCTATTTGGTATGTCCCTGGCTTTAAACAAACCTGTCTCTGCCAAGGTGGGAGGGGTGGCGCAACTGTGGCTGATGAGGTAGCACCATGCAATTTTGGGGTATTATTTTGGCATGAAATTGCATTTTTGTTTCCATCTGTTCAGACCACATCCTATTACAAACACAAGACAGTTATAGTGGCATTAAGTGACAAAGGTGCATGCCCACAGACATTTCATGCACAATGTGACGCACACACACACACACATAATAATACACAATCATACTGATATTTGGCTTCTAGGGTCTGACCTTATCACTACCCATAAGGAAACTTCACAATAGTAACTTCCCCTCTAGCTTAATTTATACTCAGAGCCTACAGGTGGATGCTGAGGTGGAAGTGGAGCTTTTGAACTGCAGCAGCAGCAGCAGTAAGCAACAGCAGGGCAGCTAAAGAGAGGAGCATGCCATGTTGAGTGTAGCAATCCACTTGAGTTGCCTGCCTGAACTAGCTCGCAGGCTTTGCTTCAGTCACATTTGAAGTGTGTATTTGTAATTTTGTACTTAATGATGGAGGTGAACTTAAGTCCTCCAGAAAACTGAGCGAGAGTTCTTGTTTAGGAGCCTTGGGCAGTACTGATGTTTAGCACAGAATTCTATATGTGAGCAGTTTTCAGATAATATCTGAACCCCTCCAAAAAGCGCTGGGAGGCTCAGCAGAGCTGTATGATCATTTCAAACCTGTGAGAGATTACCTTTACTTATTAATAGTCGTTATTTGTGATGCTTCTTGTTCTGTAAGTGTTCTGCCACATTACCTTTTCTTATGCGCTGCACTGACTTTGCAACTGCATTTAAAACAACTACTCATCTCTGGCGGTAGCTAGGCCTCATCTGCCTGCACAGTGCATTGATACCACACAGGAAACCAGATATTGGTTTTACACTGTGCTATAATGCTAATCCATAAAACTCACATAATTAATGGCATTCAGTAATGGAGTGCAAAGGGTTCAGCTAATAATACTTAAAACAGGAAATTGATTTTGGAATACATAATGGGTATGGAATGCACTTGTGTGTAATGTGAGTGTGTGCGGTGATCACACATGCATGTATGGGTGTTTGTGTGTTTGCAGTGGTATGGTTGTGTGTGACCTTTAGCAGGTGTTGCTGATATGGGTGATCTGTTTCAGTGTCAAGTGGGATACTGAGAAATGGGGCAAGACAAACCACAGTCCAATTAAACTGAAGCTGTTGAATTAAAGGATCTTCAGGGAAATCTGTAAAACAGGATAAAGCAGGAGGCTGTGTGTG